AGGCAGCTGATCGATGTTTCTCTCTCATTGATGTTTCTAACTCTCTATCCCTCTCCCTTCCTCTCTGTAAAAAATCAATAAAATATATTTTTTTTAAAAAAAGGCAATCAGAGCCTTGGTCGGTGTGGCCTGGGTTGCAGGTTTGACCCCCAGTAGGGGGCGTGCAGGAGGCAGCCAACTGATGTTTCTCTCTTTCTCTCAAATCAATAAAAACATATTTAAAAAAGAAAAGTAATCAGAGAGACACCAAGAAGCCAGGAAGGGAGATGAGAAAGGAGTGAGCACAGAGGTTCGGGGGAAATGAGGTAAGTCGATGTCCTGGAAGCCAAAGGAAGGACTTAAGTGTTTTATGGTGGTTGGGGAGGGGGCGTGTACATGCAGGCTGGCTTTATTGGTACCATCATTGTCACTTAACATTTAAAAAAATATATTTCTTTATTGATTTTAAAGAGGAAGGGAGAGGGAGAGAGAGAGAGAAACATCAATGATGAGAGAGAATCATTCATCGGCTGCCTCCTGCACGCCCCCTACTGGGGATCGAGCCCGCAACCCAGGCATGTGCCCTTGGCCGGAATCGAACCTGGGACCCTTCAGTCCGCAGACCAATGCTCTATCCACTGAGCCAAATCAGCTAGAGCAAAATTTTTTAAATGTATTGATTGATTTTCTAGAGAGAGAGGAAGGGAGAGAGGAGACAGAGACATTGTTGTGTCGTTCCACTCATCCGTGCACCCATTGGTTGATTGATTCTTGTATGTGCCCTGACCGGGGATCGAACCCACAACCTTGGCATATCAGGCCGGCGCTCTAATCAACCGAGCCACCCGGCCGGGGCTATTCTGCATTTTGAATATTAGGTCTGAAATCAGAGCCAAAATACCACTTGCACATGTAAACAATATAAAACATTAATGAAATATTATGCATTTCTTTTTTGTATGAGTTCTCAAACCAGTGAGTGTTTTGCCCTCACAGCTCATCCCAGTCGCCACCTTCCGAGCGCCCAGGAGCCACCGTGGCCGTGGCATCCGTGGGGGTGCAGCCCCTCCCGGGAGTCGCAGCTACAGTCTCGGGTCCCCTGTTAGGACACAATGACCTGGACCTCAGACTGTTCATCCTGGCCACTGTGCACAGCCCCTTTTATCTCGGGGAGTCCCCCCCCAGCCCCCACGCCAGGGGGAGGGGTCACTATGCTTGTGCTTGTCAGGCAGGAAGCAGTGGCCAGAAAGGGGGGTGATCAGCCACATGGCCACCCTGACAAGCCAGGGGCAGGGCCTGTGGAACCCACTTCTCCAGCCTCCTCACCTCCCTGCTCTCCCTTCACCCGACCTAGGCAGGTCCTGGGGAGACTCGGGGCCACATCCCGCCATCGCTGCACAGGAAAAGCTCCCAGCCCCATGGGGTCCCGTAACACCCTTATATAGCCCAGCAACCCTCCGTGTCCTGTGCTTGACTGTGTGTTCCATTGCGTGCTTACCAACCCCTAGAAAGCCGTACCATTGTCCTCACTTTTGTTTTGTTTTTGTTTTACAAATATGTTCTTTTTTAAAAATATATTTCTTTATTGATTTCAGAGAGGAAGGGAGAGGGAGAGAGATAGAAACATCAATGATGAGAGAGAATCATTGATCGGCTGCCTTCTACACGCCTCCCACTGGGGATCGAGCCCACAACCCAGGCATGTGCCCTTGACTGAAATCGAACCCAGGACCCTTCAGTCTGCAGGCTGAGCCTCTGACGCTCTATCCACTGAGCCAAACTGGCCAGGGCTACAAATACATTTTTATTGATTTCAGAGAGAGGAAGGGGAGAGGGAGAGAAATAGAAACATCAAATGAGAGAGAATCATCGCTGTATCCACGGAGCCAAACCAGCCAGGGCCACATCCTCACGTTTGAAATGAGGAAGCCGAGGCTGTGGTGTTCACGTCCCGAAGCCACACAGCTGGGAAGTGGCCGCTGCCTCCTGCAGGCCCCACACTGGGGATCCAGCCTGTCACCCCAGGCTTGTGCCCTGACCGGGAATCGAAAGGTGACCTCCTGGTTCATAGGTGGGTGCTCAATCACTGAGCCATGCCGCATCCTCACTTTTTTTCTTTAATGTTTTTATTGATTTCAGAGAGGAAGTGAGAGGGAGAGAGATAGAAACATCAATGATGAGAGAGAATCATTGATCGGCTGCCTCCTGCACGCCCCCTACTACTGGGGATCAAGCCTGCAACCTAGGCATGTGCCCTTGACTGAAATCGAACCCAGGACCCTTCAGTCTGCAGGCTGAGCCTCTATCCACGGAGCCAAACCAGCCAGGGCCACATCCTCACGTTTGAAATGAGGAAGCCGAGGCTGTGGTGTTCACGTCCCGAAGCCACACAGCTGGGAAGTGGCCTCCCTGGCATGTGAGTTCTGAGCCTGGGCTCCTCTGCCCCCGGCCTCTGAGGCCCAGCTGCCCCCGCATCTCTCCCCTGTGACTTACCATCCACGCGAGACCTCAGCTCCCTGCCTCAGTTTCCCCATCTGTAGAGCAGGGGGACTGTTGTTGCCTTGCACCCTGGGGTTCGGCCTGGCGAGAGGTTAGCCCCCGGGAAGGGCAGCCGTCCTGACGCTGTCACCACTGTCTTGCTGGGAGTCCCCACCCCGAGCTGTCCGCGCTCGGGCTCACTGCATGGTCGTTCACGCTGTGAGAGAAGCACTGTGATGCCATTCAGGAAAGGGGGGGACCTGAACCCCCAACCTTACCTACCACACCTCGCGGACGTGCGGACGGGTCAGAGTCTGCTCTTGAGAGTGTGTATGCGTTCGTCTAGCTGGCATGTGAGTTCTGAGCCTGGGCTCCTCTGCCCCCCGCCTCTGAGGCCCAGCTGCCCCCGCATCTCCCCCCTGTGACTTACCATCCACGCGGGACCTCAGCTCCCTGCCTCAGTTTCCGCATCTGTAGAGCAGGGGGTTGTTGCCTCGCACCCTGGGGTTCGTCATGAGCACTGAGTGCGGTACTGCCTGTCCGCGGCCGGGAGCAGGGCCTGGGGTGAGGTTAGCCCCCGGGAAGGGCAGCCGTCCTGACGCTGTCACCACTGTCCTGCTGAGGGTCCCCACCCCGGGCTGTCCGCGCTCGGGCTCACTGCACGGTCGTTCACGCTGTGAGAGAAGCACTGTGATGCCATTCAGGAAAGGGGGGAACTTGAACCCCCAACCTTACCTCCCACACCTCACGGACGAGCGGACGGGTCAGAGTCTGCTCTTGAGAGTGTGTATGTGTTCGTCTGGTCCAGTGGTCGGCAAACTGCGGCTCGCGAGCCACATGCGGCTCTTTGGCCCCTTGAGTGTGGCCCTTCCACAAAATACCACGTGCGGGTGCCCACGTACAGTGCGATCGAAACTTCATGGCCCATGCGCAGAATTCGGTATTTTGTGGAAGAGCCACACTCAAGGGGCCATTTATTTATTTATTTATTTATTTATTTTAGAAACTGGAAAAGGAGAGGAGAGAGAGAGAGAGAGAGAGAGAGAGAAACATTGATGTGAGGCACATTGATTGGTTGCCTCCATGCATCCCAACCAGGGCTGGGGATCGAACCTGCAACCCAGGTACATGCCCTTGACCGGGAATCGAACCCATGACCCTTTCGTGCATGGGCTGACGCTCTAACCACTGAGCAACACCAGCCGGGCCATTTTAACCATTTTCAAGTATACAGTTTAGTGGTAAGTACATTCACGTTGTTGTGCAGTCGTCACCACCATCCATCCCCAGAACTCTTACCATCTTGTAAAACGGGAACTCTGTCCCCATTAAACAGTAACTCCCCACTTCTGCTCCCCCAGCCACTGTCTCTGACTGTGTCTCCTCTGGGTACGTCATAGAAGTGGAATCACGCAGTATTTGTCTTTCCGTGTTTGGCATATTTTACTTGGCATAATATCCTCAGGGTTCATCCTTGCTATAGCATAGGTCAGAAGCCCCTTCCTTTTTACAGCTGAATAATATTCCATTGAGTGTATACTGGAATAACACATTCCGTGATCATGGATATACCACATTTTATCCATTTATCCATTGCTGGACACTCGGGTTGCTTTCGGCTTGTGAATAATGCTGTTAGGAAAGTGGGTGTGCCCTTTCTTTCAATTATTTTGAGTATATGCCCCCAAAGGAGTGTTGTTAGATCATATCGTAATTGTGTCTTTAATTTTTTGAGGGAACTCCGTACTATTTTCCTCAGCAACTCCACCATTTTACATTCCCACCAACAGGGGTCCCAGTTTCTCCACATCCTTGCCAACTCTCTTAGTGTGTGTGTGTGTGTGTGTGTGTGTGTGTGTGTGTTCCCCAGTAACTGTTCTAATGGCTAGGAGGTGGTATCTCGTTGTGGTTTTGATCCGAATTTTCCTAATGATTGGTGATGCTGAGTACCTTTTCATGTGCTCGTTGGCCCATTCAATCATTCTTTCATGAAAATATTTACCAGGCACTTACTAGGTGCGAGGTAGGTGCTGGGGATAGAGTGGTGAACAGGCCATATGCTTACATCCCAGTAAGGCACACTGCTGTGTGTTTGGATCTCCTTCCACCACCCAGCAGCTGTGAGTTGATGAACCCTTTCTGTGCCTCTGTTTCCTCATCCGGACAATGGGTACGTCGACTGATCATGACTGAGCACTTCATGGTGACTCAGGAGGCAAAGTGCTAAATCTCTACCTGGATTAAATCCTCACAACCACCCCGTGAGGTAGGTCTTATTCCTCCCTTTTTATCGGCGAAGGAGCTGAAGCAAATTGACCTAAGTAATGCCAACAAGGTCACCGACTAAGGACATGACAGAGTCGGGCTTCATTACCAAGCAGTGGGACTCTGATTCCCAATGTCTGGCCACTGCATGATACCAATCACATTATCTATTTCATGGGACTCCGGGGAGCTGCGATGAGTCCATCCACCACTTAACAATGTTAGCTCTTAGCAGAATTACCTACTGCCTTATATCCCTCCCTCCCAGCCCTTGTCTTTGTCCCCATTCCTTCCTTTCATCTTCTGCCTCGAATCTCGCCTTCTGCTATCATTCATTCATTCATTCACTCTTTTTAAAAAAAATATATTTTATTGATTTTTTACAGAGCGGAAGGGAGAGGGATAGAGAGTTAGAAACATCGATGATCAGCTGCCTCCTGCACACTCCCCACTGGGGATGTGCCCGCAACCGAGGTACATGCCCTTGACCGGAATCGAACCTGGGACCCTTGAGTCTGCAGGCTGAAGCTCTATCCACTGAGCCAAACCGGTTAGGACCATTTATTCACTCTTCATTCATTCATTCGACGCCCATTTCTTGAGGCCTCCCTTGTACCAGGCAATGATAGAGGCACACAGAGGAATTTAGGAAGAAATTCATAAATCATCCCAATGCTTGCCAAAAAGGGGGGTAGCGCAGGGGGCCGCTGCACCCCAGAGGGGGAAACTGGACCCAACTTTAGTGAGAGGAGTGAATGCATGTGCGCATGTGCGAGTCCAAGGACACGCTTCCTCAAGGAGGCGCCCGTGAGCTGCCCACTTGCAGGGTAAGTTTTCATCAGTGAAGGTGTGAGTGGACTGTTTCTCGGAAGGAGCCTGGAGCGTCAAGGAAACAAAATGTATTTATATTTATGCTAATTTATACACCAATCTCCAACTATGTGTTAGAACAGGAACTGTTCTCAAATATGGGGTGTTAGGTTCCTGAAGGGTGTGAGGTCCAGGATCTGAGGGTGAGGCTGAGTGACCCCTAGAGGCATAACCCCTTCACGGGCCTCTGTGATTCCAGGTAAGAGGCTGGCAATCCCTCTCCGTAAGCGCAGGATTGAAGAGACTACAACTCCCATGGATCACCGGGGCTACTCTCCCCAGAAGTGGACTCAGGACTTCGTAGGGCCTTATGGGAAATGTAGTCTCCTTTGCCCTCCGCAGCCTCCTTCGTTTTCCCACGCTCTTGCAGACGCCTCAAGTTCAGCGTTAGAAGGGCGCCTTGACATTGCTGAAACCAGCGCCTTGCAGCGGTTCTCAACCTGTGGGTCGCGACCCCTTCACAGGGGTCGCCTAAGACCATCGAAAACAACATCTATAATTCCATATTGTTTTTGTGATGAATCACTATGCTCTAATGATGTTCAATTTGTAACAATGAAATTGGGGCTCACCACAACATGAGGAACTGTATTAAAGGGCCGCGGCGTTAGGAAGGTTGAGAACCACTGTTAGAGGGAAACGGAAGGCCGGGGGGTACTGGGGTCCCAGCCCAGAGTTCAGGGCTGGGGTGTGTGTGTGGGGGGGAGGCCTGTGGCTTTTCAGTGAGTTTTGGATGTTGTTGTTTTTCTTTATTAAATAAAAATACTGGTGCGGATAATGAGGCCAAAGAGATTGACAGCTTGTCCCAGAGGCCGGGGAAAGGTTCAGGAGCCAGGAGTTTGTCTTCCGATCGAGAGAGAGAGAGAGAGAGAGAGAGAGAGACAGAGAGACAGAGAGACAGAGAGAGACAGGAAGCAGTGAGTCTTCTCTCACAGGGGGGTCCCCCAACTCTTAAGTCCCCCCGCATCACCACCTCCGTCCTCCTCTAGGGCTGAAAAGAGGTGTCTGCGTGAAGATCAACCATTTCCCGGAGGACACTGACTACGACCATGACAGCGCGGAGTATCTGCTCCGTACGTTGGGGTCCGGGA